TGCAAGCTTCTTTGAATAATAACCAAGTGGTTGCCACTCTCTCTCCAACCCGTTGTGCAAAGCAGCATCCATAGCAGTTTCTGAAGAGCTCACTACAATCGCCAACGGTGCATTCGTGACAGGATGGCACAACTTGGTTGACTCCGCCAAGTCTTTCTCAAACGCAGCAACTGCCTCCTCCGACCACTTGATCGCGCTTTTATCATTTTTCTTAGAACTTTTTAAATATTCGTTTAAAATTGCCTGAGTATGATCAGCTCTCGGTATAAATCTTTCATAAAAGTTCAAGATCGCCAGAAATCGAAGAAGCTCTCTAACTGTAACTGGCTGAGGAAAATTAATAATTTCAGAAACTTTATCGGGAAGCGGAGTAATGCCTTTTTCCGTTACCAAATGCCCTAGAAATTCCACTGAAAACTGTCCCAAGACACATTTGCTTACGTTGAGTGTTACACCATATTCAGTTGTAGTTGTAGTTCATTTAAGTCGCACTAGAGCTGCACAATGGGCTATTGGCGACTGTCTGAGAAACATCCCTGAGGATGATCCAAAGACATGCCATCACTGTTTTGATCCTATGCAGAGGGGATGGCACTCCCGCTTCGGTAGCCCAACGACCTGCACGCGAAGTCGAGCACTGACACACCATATTCAGCAATACGTTGAAAAATTAATTAAACGTTTTTCTTCGCTCTTCGAAGCTACTAACACACCATCAAAATAAGGTACACAGAAGTCAAACTCACCTAACACTTGATGGATGAAACGTTGGAAAGTTGCGACAGCATTTGATAATCCAAACGGCATATACAAAAACCATGAACAATCCAAATGGGTTTGTTACAACAGTCTTTGGCACGTCTTCCTTGCGCACTGGAATCTGTCTATGCTTTTTCCAGGTTCAACGTAGAAAATATCCTTTTACCTTCCAAAACCTGAAAACAGTCTTGTATGTGGGGAACAGGTTACCTATCTGGCACGGTCACACCATTAAGAAGACGAAAATCGCCACATGATCGTCAGTCACCATTCTTTTTTAGAACCCTGTGTAACAGACTTGCCCAACAGCTTTTGGAAGGCTGGAAAAGCCCTGATGCTACCAGAAATTCGAACTCTTGGTTTGCTGCTTTCAGTTTCCGGCGATAAACGTCGGGGTTTCGAAAAAATAGGCGGTCCTTTTGTCTGTATCCAATGTTCCACTCCGTGCATAACCTCTCTTGGCATGACACCTGATCTAACAGAGCAAGAAACTCTGCCAACAAATGGTGAAATTTAAAGTGAAATGAAGAAATCCCAGCATACCAGGTACCTCTTGTTTGCAGCTTGGTCAAAGGATCAATTATTTCAGCATTTTTAATGTCGACTAATAGCCCAAAATTACGTAAGAAAGTCAGCTCCGATAATTCGATGAATCACGGTAGCGATGATAAAAAAAACCCAGCTGAACTCTCTTCTGAGTCCCAGGTCTAATTTCAACAGGCGTAGGCCAAACGTTGGAATGATCATCCCGTTTGCTTAGAACAATTTCATCTGTGCTGTATGTTCTCTAGATGTATAGGCAGCACGAGGTACAACAGAGACGTCCGCTCCCGTATCGATGAGATAACGTGAGGAGGAAGACTTGTCTGTCAGATAAAGCCGCTGAATCATCGCTTCTCCGTCGCCCTTTTGACTGGATGACGGCCTAAGCAGTTTTCCGGCTGGAACGAACATGTCGCTTGTTGCTGGAATTTTTTATGATACCAGCAATACTGCAAATTCGAAGTCTGTTGGCTTCGGCTAGTCGAACTGGATCTTCTTGACCGGTCACTTGTACGAGCTTCCAACCGTAAGAGACGAGCTGTGATCTCTGTTAATATAGACCGCAAATCCGGATGATCCGTCGAACCTGCAACTGTGCTGACTGACTGTCCACTCTAGCCATCATAGCCATAATACCATCGACCATCTCTGCCAGCTTGCCTAGCCTATTGCTGGAAATCGCCAAAATCTGCTGAACATTAGAGGGAAACCTCTGCAAAATTAAAGATTCAAGAAGCTCATCGTTAGTTCTTGTACTGGCTTTATTCCGCATTTCCAGAAGCAGTCTTGAAGGACTATGGTCACCGAGTTGCATTCCCGAAATTTAATCCTTTTAACGCTGTGCTTCAGGTTCAGCATATTGAGCGCACAATCTCATTTTCAGTGATGCGAAAGGCTCATCTACAGGTGGACTGATAATAATATCGCTGATAATCGCTAGTTCCTCCGGTTGAAAAGCAAAAACTACGAGGTGAAATTTCTTTGAATCTGTTGTCACTCAAGCAAGCGTGAACTGACTTTCGATTTGTCTGAACCATATCTCTGCGTTAGCTCTCCAAAAAGGTGGCGGCTTTACAGTAACACGAGAAATTTGTTAGTCAGTAGTTTCCTAAGACTCGGGGTCGAGCAGTTGACTGATCGTTAAGACACGGTTCCCAGCAGATCACCGAAGTCAAGCATCACTGGCTGCGGTCAGTGTGCGGGTGGGTGACCCACTTGGATCAATCTGCGTAGGGACCGAGGGTGTGCGGTATTGGTCCTCGTTAAACTGTGCTACCGTAAAGTGCTCGACTTCGCGTGCAGGTCGTTGGGCTACCGAAGCAGGGGTGCCATCCCCTCTGCAGAGGATCAAAATTGTGATGGCATGTCTTCGGATCATCCTCAGGGATGTTTCCCAGACGGTCGCCAATAGCCCATTGTGCAGCTCAAGTGCGACGTAAATGAACTACAACAACAACAACTAAGACTCGGGCATCTTTTGCATTAATCCGAACAAATTTTTTCTCTTGTTGGACTTATATAAGTCCAACAAGAGAAAAAATTTGTTCTCACAGCTTGCCGAAATTTCTAAAACTTGAAAAGTGCCAACATTCCTTCGTAATCCACCAAATAGTAGAGATTCCCAAATGCAGCTTGCAGAAGCAGAAATGCCCGTATTCATTCACGGGTCACCAATCGGGGGGTGAGTAATTGACTATGTCAACCTTCATCTATGAAGAGGCACCCCATCGAAGATTCAAGTTAACATGTCTTATATACTAGTGAATTGGAATTATATTTTTGTAGTGGTAGACTCACTACACTTATAATAAATGCAATAATGCAAACAAATTTAATACAAATACTAAACATTAAATTCGTGAAGAAACATCAAAGATAAAAATAAATAGATATTTTATTTTAGACAGCGTAATTGTCAAAATGAAAGAATTCATCCCCTTTCACAAATAATGAGGTGAACTCTATGAGTGGGCCGACCAGGTGGCCGAGTGGTTAGCGTGCCTGACTGCGGAGCCGATGGTTGCGGCTTCGAATCCTGCTCAGGGCATGGATGTTTCTTTATCTCTCTGTGTGTGTTCTATGTCCTTTCTCCTTTGTGTGTGAATGTGACACGCCCTATAAATGGGTTTGTGTTTGTGTGACGTGGGCGACGCTGCTCCACCGCCGTGGCTTCGCCACAGGTGCCCACTGGGTAACAAGAAGAGAGTAGCAGTTCTGGCATTTTCTGAGGCCAATGGGTCTTTGTCCCAAATCCCGACCATTAAAAAATAACTCTGTGATTGGACACTTTCTTATGACTATGGATACACAACGTTACTTCCTACCTAGGGGGAGGGTCCAAACCTTTGTTCGAGGGCTGGAGTTCCATCCACCACTCTCTTCGGGGTTTGCGAGCTTAGGATTTTGTCATCATCATCATCGAAATATATCTGGGCACCTGGGGCCGTTAGCGGCCTTTTCCCCATTCGTCTTGAATTGTGGTCTTTAAGGTGGTTCTTTCTGGTAATTGGAATGCAATTGGAATAAAAGGAAATTAAATATTTTGTATTTTAGTTAAAATTACGTCACTACAAAAATGAGCTGCCATCGGTCTGAGGTTTATGTCTTCTCTTAAGTTTTCAAAAGTAAAAATTTCGTTGAATCCTGCGGTGTCACAATTTATGGTCTTTTCGAAAAATCTGAAATTTAACTTTGCAATATGATGATCTAAAAAATCTATGTTGAGGTCGCGATGTATGTTTTTATTGCGGATAAACCATCTTGCTTTTGTTATTTTCCTGAGGATTTCATTCTGGCATATTTTGAGTTTTTTAAGGAGTGATGTGGAGATGTTGCACCAAGCTGGAGATGCATAAGTTAGGATGGGACGGATCATCGAGATGAAGAGTAAACGTTTAAGTCTGAGTTCCATTTTGGGGTTCTGAAGAAGGATTTGTAATCTGTGACAGGCTGCTTGTGCTTTGTTGATAACTGTTTTAACGTGATCTTTCCAATTAAATTTGCTGTTTATGACCAAACCAAGATATATTGCGCTTTTGACTATGGGTATAGTTTCTTTGAAAAGAGTTTTTCTTTTATGTTGGATGATTAGTAGTTTCGATTTTTGGCCGTTGACTTTAAACTTCCAGTCTAGACACCAGGTTTCTATTTCCGTAAGCTTTTCTTGGAGTTTCTTTAGGGCAATGTTGGGATTTTTGGACTTCACGACAATTCCTGTATCATCTGCGAAAAGTGCTGTGATGCTATTAAAGTCTTGTCTGTCGATGGGAAAGTCGTAGGTAAATAGTAGATGAATAGTATGGGCCCAAGGATGCTTCCTTGAGGCACTCCTGCTGTTATTTTTCTGCTTGTTGATTTCGTGTTTTTAAAATTAACCTGAAAGGTTCTATTATGTAAGTAGGCCTGTATAATTTTAATGATACCAGTTGGGAATTTCAGTTGTATAAGCTTGAAGATGAGACCCTGATGCCAAACTCGGTCAAAGGACTTTGCGATATCTAACATCAGTAGTGCTGAACTCTGTTTGTTATGGAGTCCACGACCAATCTTAGGATTTTGTTTTACATACGGGACGGGGATATAGAATAGATTCCCGTAAATAGTGACGTCACCGTCCGCTTTTGATGGCGGCGAGTTTAGACGTCATCGTAACGCAGCGCACCTTTTTGTCGCGCACGCGCATTGGTGTGATAGTCCCCCCCCCTACTCCGTAGCTACTTTGAAATTTTTATTCATTCTGTTAAGTGTCGGAAAGTGGAGAAATAAGCTGAAAATATTATCGGCAATAAATATAGTAAGTGGAATTTTAACATATTTTAGATTTAATCCAGATTGTAAAATTATTTCGATAGTTCTTTTCTTTAAAAGTTTTTAAATGTAGTTAACATTCTATAGCAATGTAACAAAATATATTGAACCTAAATTTTTTTTTTTTTCGTAACACGCGTGGTTTTAAAAATTGGCTTTTTTCTTATTCTACTATTTTAATTTTGTTAAAATTAATATAGACCTGGTATTAATGTTAATTTGAAATAGACTATTTTTGTGTTTGAATTTGACATTTATTTTTGGTATTGAAATGTGAGTAGTATTAATTCAATTTATTGAGTGTGATTTTTCTACGTTCCTTTTATCCAAGCGGAATTTTAATCGCTTTAGCATCTTCGGTGTTACAATGAACTTTATTTCTAAATTCTATTCTAAATTATAAAATTAATTTTTAATATTGATGTGCAGTGTATTTTTATTCATTTTAATTTCTCCCGAGTAGAGATGGCTCTTTTAATCTATGTTGGAGTGTAACATGTGACTGTTATTTTTATTTCAGATGTAAAACTTAAAGTTATAGTTATCTTAAGTTGTAAAAGTAAAATGTTGATTGATTTTAAGTAGCTAGTTATATGCTAGTTGATTTTAAGCTAGTTGATGCTAGTTGATGCTTATATGCTAGTTGATTTTAAGTAAATGTACTACCTGAACTAGTGCTTTTTCTGTAATTTCTGCGAAATTTTAATCATTATTACAGTTTTGGTGTTATGATAAATTTTATACCAAAATTCTAATTTAAGATTGTAAGTGCGCAATAATCGTTCTTCGAAGAAGCATTATTGACATGCATTTCTGTGAAAAGAAAGAAACATATTAGTCACATATACGTGAGTTTGGTTTTTGAATTAAGATATTTAAACTTAAACAAAAGAGGGAAAAAGCACGTTTTTCTTAATCTATAGCAGGGGTTTCCAACTTACATGAGGCCGGGGGCCACAATTAAAAACACAAATCAAATGGCGGGCCGCAACTTTATCAAAATTTTTTCTAGCACTCTTACCTGTTTGAAGGAATATTAAATATTACTGTCGGATTTTTACCAAGTTGTACAAAACAAAAGTATTGAATTACAAATTAAAATAAGTAGATTTTTAAAAATATTTAATTGCATATTAAAAAATTCGGGCTACAATAACTTGAATGTGCACCTATGTATTAAACAATTAATGTGCAGCAGATATCTAATTCTTAAGATGTAAAACTTTAAAAAGGTTGGTACTAAAACTTACATAGCACACAAAATATTCAATGAGAAAATTGAGGTTTATCTGCTGCAACCACCAGAGAATAGGTATTTACATTAAAAATTTAGTAATATTTGTGTAAATATTTTCGTCCAAAATGAGTGTTTTCAAAAAGTTAAATCGGAGAATTTCTTCGAGAAAATTTCTGATACACACATGCTAAATTATATTCACAAAATACAAAAAACTTAAATAAAAAAGAGCAACATACACGATTATTTTTGTATTTGAATAAATATTTTCTTGGATGCAAAACCTGAGAAATAAATTTTTTTGCACCGTTAGTACGAATTTCACAGAAACGAAGAAATTAGGTTTTTATTAACGAGAAAAGTATATTAAACCCATATAGATTCTTTAGGAAAATTGTCCGTAAAAAAAATTACAACAGATATATTTTAGTTCGCGAGCCACAAAAAAAGGCTTCGCGGGCCGGATGCGGCCCCCGGACCGCCAGTTGGTAACCGCTGATCTATAGCTTTAAAAATTATCTTGTGTGGGCTAATGTTAGAATTTTCTGAAAAAGAATGCTTCTTTGAAAAATCGTTGTTTTGACGCTTCAGCTTTTCAACTTCGTCTAAAGAAGGAAAAAAAATTATAGTCAAAATTATACTAAAAGAAACTATAGACAGTGGCCGCAAATAAATTTCATGCATATTAAAATTTAAGCCAGAAAAAAAAACAATATCTGTGAAAACTAGCGAATAACAGTTGTGGTAAATAGCGAAAAATATTTGATTTTCGGGTTAAACAGAAAGAAATTGAAAGGAGATCGGTGGAACTATATCTAAGTTAGGCAATCAAATTGGTTTTGCCTTTTTGTCATCTTTTCTTAACTAGTGATTCGATAGTTTCCAACTGTCTTTTTGTTACTTCATCGCTTAAATAATAGGCTGCGACCTATAATTGCGAACTATTTAGATTAAATTCTTCATAAATATTTAAACAATCAGAACGAGAAAACGGAACACTCTGTTCACATATTTTAAAAATGTTTGTGGCACATGAAACACAATTTGATTGAAAACTTCATGTTTGATGTTGCAAAAAAAAGTCTCAGTTTTATCAAAATCTCAGGAATCGGTGCTGAGGCTAATCACAGCAAAGATGGATTTAAAATTAATTCGAAAAATAATAATCCAGTTCATCTAACTAATAAATCTAGCAATCCAAATAATCACCTTACATCCCTATTTAGTCTATGACAGACAAACAGGTATTTTATGATTTTAATTACATACTTGCTATACGTGACTGAAATTAAAAAATTATCAGATTTTTATGTTTTTTTGTTTAAGCATAGGAGTAGTAAGCGCATAATTTTTCAAAGTCACTTTTAACATCCTAAAAAATGATTATTTTTTCATTAAAAATTTAAAAAGTTTAGAGGGTTTTTAATTTAAATCATTTAACGATTATCGCATTCATGTAAGTGTTATTGTAAGTATCATTTAAAGATTTTTCTAAAAAAAATACATAATTCAAATACAATTTTTTAACGAAATAAAACAAAATTTTGGGTATTGGTAATTTTCAACTACAATTGAAAGTTCGTAGGAACCACGCAAAAACTATGCTACTGTGGCAATAGACAGATTCGTACGTGCATTGTGAAAATGTGTTGGTTGTAATACTTTTTTTCATTACTACTTTTTCTTTCTGGTCCCGCAGCGGACTGATCGTTAGGACACGGTTCCCAGCAGATCACCGAAGTCAAGCATCACTGACTGCGGTCAGTGTGCGAATGGGTGACCACTTGGATCAGTCTGCGTAGGGACCAAGAGTGTGCGCTATTGGTCCTCGTTAAACTGTGCTACCGTAAAGTGCTCGACTTCGCTCTCAGGTTGTCGGGCTACCGAAGCCGAGGTGCCATCCCCTCCGCAGAGGATCAAAATTGTGATGGCATGTCTTCGGATCATCCTCCGGGATGTTTCCCCGACCGTGGCCAATAGCCCATTGCGCTGCTCTAGTGCGACGTAAATTAACAATAACAACTTTTTCTTTCTGACAAATATTTTATGGTATGATTGTTACCATGGATGATTGAAATCAAAGGAATGTCGATTCTTACCAGTTAATGTCAACAATCACATAGTTGCTTTGGTGAATGTCCGAAATATTTATTATATCCGATTAGATATTACTTTATTCGTTGATATTTTATTTATTCGCTATTTTAATATATTAGTATAGATTGGGGGAAACATCAGTGTTCCGAGATCCGATAAAATGCATATTGGGCAGTGGCCCTTGACCTTAAAAAAACATCGATGTAGTGCTTACCGGGCAAATGTATATCGAGCAGAGGCACTTAAATAGATCTGGTATATAATTCGGACTTTCACCAAAGTCAGCATGTTATTGTCAGCATTCACTGGTGGAAGCTAACAACCAACAATTTCGGTCATTTACTGTAATATAATTAAATTTTGTCCCATAGTATTCAAATTATCTACGGAACTGGCAGGATGTTTTGGAATTCGAAATAAGTTCTTTCTTTAAATTGTAGCGTATCAAGCTATATTAAAGAACTGTTCAGTTTTTTTATAAAAACCTTTTATTCACAAACAACACAAACAGTAACAAATATGAATTACCCGTAATGGGATAGTGAAAAGATCATAAGACAACAAGAAAAACACGTAACGGGATATCAGGAAATTCAAATTCCAAGCAAAAACTAATCTAAAGAAAACCAACAACTCTGTCGTTCTAAAAATTGACTTCTAATTTTATCGTCTGCTTTTATTTTTTTAAATTTATCTCTTTATGTGTTTATTTTATTTTATTTATGCTTTTGCCAGCCTGCTATTTTTAAATATTTTTACTTTTATTTATGCTTTTGCAAACCAATTTTCTTTTTTATATTTTCAGACTTTATAAAATCCATAAAATGATATTTTTTATGTATTTAAAATTTAGATAATTGATATATAATTTAGCAGAATAAAAGTTTAAATATAACTACGCAGCAAAATTTTAGCATTATTGTTAATTGTTGTATTTTAATGTTGTAGTTATTTAGCTTATAATTGGAGTTAGTAGCTATTTACGAAAGATAAATTTTCTTTTAATTACCCTTTTTATTTATTTATTTTTAAAATTTTAAATAACTTACAGCATTATCAAATTAGTATATTGATTTGCTTCAAGGATTAATTTCTTGGTAAAACTTGACAGACTATGATGAATGTTCTTAAACTTTTTAACTAATAAGTTTCATTTCATACGATATATTCTTTTTTTACTTCTAATTAATGTGAAATATGACGTACGTCTTTTTTCAAAATTTCAGTAAATAGTGGTAAAACTATTTTATTTGATTATCAAATAACTTTCAAAAATTTCATTTCTACTTTGTAAGACCGGATTGTGTCAAATGCATAGCAATATTAAGTGGTAGATTAAGCAAAATTTTTATTCTTTTAGCTTTAGGACATTCTTTTTCTAATAACTACATGGTTAAACAATAAATGTATACTATAAAATGTCGTATTTTCTCAAAACTTTTCGGAAATAAGTAATGAATGAAAAAATTTTTATTTAACTTTTTTACAATTTGATTGTTCTGGACAAAAAGATTATTTCGCTAAATACAAGCCTGGACAAATTTATGTAAACTAGAGAGCTGTGCCCCCTGCTCGCTAACGCTCTCCAACTCTCGAAAATTGTTACGCAATCTTATATGGTTTGCTTCGCAAACCAAGCTCGCTACTAACTT